AGTGGAAGTTAATAGGGCTAATTTTGTTTCTGACAACAGGCCTCTGGCCCATGTCTATAGGATGCGGATCTACTGTAACTACGCCCGTGAGTGCAGGCAGAGGCCTGGCATGTCTCTGTATAGGATGCAGATTCACTGTCACTAACGCATGTCATCTCACTCAAAAATTAACACTAAGACAAGAACTCTTATGCTAAAACTACCCACCACATTCCTCTCGTATGTTAACTTGTACACTAAGACAAAAATGCTCAAATCATGATCTGAGATACCCGGGGTTAGGACCCGGCAATCTCCACGTCGGTGATGAAGGTGTCCCCCCCTCCCTCGCCCTATCGACAAGAACTAACCTCATCTTGAGTCCTCGCATGCAAAAACTAACACTTGTACACTAAGACAAAAACGTTTACATCACAATCGAGATATCCGGGGGTGGCACCCAGTCATCTCCGCCTCACCGAGGGTGGCACCCCCTCCCCCCTCCGACGACGATGACTACCAACCTCATCTTGAAGTGGAGAAGCTCGCGGGCGGCCTTCCTCTGCTCCTCCTTCGTCGACTTCTTCTGGCTGCGGAAGGCGTCGGCGATGACCGCGTCGAGGCGGAACATGGCGTCGTCGTCGAGGTCGGGCTCTGACTCGCGGTCGCTGTGCGCGGCCGCCTCCCCGAGGGCTCCCTTCACGGCCGCTCGAAGCCCCTCGTCCACCTGCAACCAATCACAATCGCTCGTCATCGCTCCGACGCACAAATCTTCCTGTTACGATTGCAATCTCGTCATCGCTCTGATGCAGAAATATTCGTTTTTTTCGATTCTATAGGGACGATTGCAAACCCTCTTTAATAAGATAAGCCCTCTCTCCCGGAGCGTCGAGCCTCAAAAAAAAGTATAGCGTTTTTGTGTGTGGATGTAATCGCAATAAAAACTGATGATGTCCAATAATGAATAAATATTAATATTATTTAAAATCGTGATTTTGTAAAACACGTACGAAACATGGGCAATTAAAGCCGATTATAATAGTGTCGTTATCCACTTGTAATTTAGTTGTTAACTGAAATAATTAATTAGGTACTAAGGTCATTTACTATTGTCAGAAACGTGAACCAAATTATCAAAATATTTGTGGGATTTTTAGCCAACTAACGACATTGAACGACTTTTACAATTTTATATCTCTAAAGGGATGTGCCAGCAACAAGTCTAAACCGGCGCGAAACCCGCCATTCCACCAACCTCTGCATCATCATCATCGTCATCGTCATCGTCGTCACTTTCCTCCTCAGACTCCTCCTCATCTTCTTCGTCTCCGCTGCCCTCCTCCGCTTCCATCTCTCCTCCCTCCTCCTCCTCGTCCTCCTCCTCCTCCGCTGCCGTCTTTGCGCTCGTGTTTAGAACGTCGACAAGGCCGCGGACAGACTCGCATGTTAGCTCTGGGATGAGAAGCCTGAATGCCTCGAGCAGCAGCGGCTTGCAGAGATGCTCGGGCCGCGAGAGCAGCCCCGTGACGACGTCCAGCAGCACCGCCTGCCATCCCGGCTCCTCCCCCTCCTTCTCATTCTCCCCTTCCTTTGTCTTCTTCGCTCCTTTCTCCTTCACTTTCTTTTCCTTCCCCTTCCCCTTCTTCTCCTCGTATGCTTTGCTCTGGCAGACGAGGATGTCGCTGAGCGAGTCCTCGACCTCCTCCGGCCCCACGAACAGCTGCAGCGCCGCGTAACCCACGAGCGTCGACAGCGCCACGCCGACGCCCGCACGCTCCCCGGCCGCGCGCCGCGCCTCGAGGTCGGTCGCCGCGGCGACGGCCGCGCGCCACAGCTTGTCGTGCCGGCGCGCGAAGGGCCTAGTCTGCGCCGCGCTCCCCCGCAGCTCATCCGCGCGCTGGAGGAGTTCGTACATCGGGTTTCGCTTGGCGGCAATCTCCCGGCTGGTGGCCCTCCACACGCCGAGCTTGAAGAATCCGCGCGAAAGCGCCGCGTGTTCGCCCGCGTCGAGCGGTGGAGAGGGGCCGCCGCCGTCGTCGTGGACGTCGTCGAAGAACGCGTGCGCGAGGACGAACTTGATGGTCGGCGTCGGCGACGCGGCGGGGGCGTCTCGCGTCGCGCGGGCGCACCGCGCATAGCCATGTAACTCGAGCGTAGTACGAACTTAATGATCGTATCGCAAGCGTGTCGACTGTCGGGTGCGTGAAAATTGTCTCCCCGTTCTCAGCACAATGTCAATGCGTTTTCATCGGTTACTACGTCTGAGCATGATTAAGTTGCACTAGGAGCGTGACTGGCGCGCAGTTGAGGCGCGGTGAGCGTTGCTTCTAGGCGCAGTGAAAGCGTCGTTTGAATGCAATGTGATCGGATTGGTCGCAATAAAGACACAGTGGGCGCAGTGCAAGCGTGATGCGGGTGTGGTATGGAGCATGGTGAAAGCTTGTTAGGCGCAATGAGATCGGGGTAAAGACGCCCATAGATCGTAGTATCGGCGATGGGGCCCAATTGGCCACGCTTGGCCAAATTTTTTGAGCGTGGGGCGATCGTGATGAACGTAGCTCTAGTGTGACGGGGGCTTTAGCTACAGTGCATACAGCAAGTTTCAGCTAGTAGACAATAGAATAAACAATGCACGCTGCACTCTAGTAGCAGCTCGACTGTTTTGCCATTGTGCCAATGGCCAGAAATCGGTGGTGGCAGTATATTTTTTAACCGTTTCATTACACAACAGATTATTATAAAAACTATTGTAAGTTGTTCTCAATCTAAGATCGTTTTTCTAGGTGCTTGCATATAGTGGGACGAGTTAATCAAAGTTGACTAACTAGTCACAAAACGAGTGTGTGCGATTTTCGCGGTAGTTTGCCGGTGTGATGTTTTGAACATAAAGTAACATTGTTCAAAACCACCCATCGTCAACTCAAAATGCTAAGAATAGATTGTATCATAATCATTGTAACATAATTATTTGATATCTCCTGCTTATTATGAGCTATAATACTTATAGAAATGTAATAGTTATATCATATTGTAAAAATGCTCCAAAATTCAACTGTTTTTAATCAAATTCGTCACTTTTAGGTCACGTGATTGGTATTTATACTCAACCCAATCATACATTGGTTAGGTGTCAGAACTATTAGATAGTGCTGACACCTACCGTTCTACATGGAAACAGACCAGAAAATGGAAGTTAGTTACCTACCTGTGGAGTCACCATGCATTTCCATTATATCCACATTAAATCATAAAAACAAATTAGAATTATTCATATTATGGTTCAACTCAAGAAATAATGTAAATTGTAATATGATATATTAATGACTGGTATTTTCTACTTTGTTATTGCACCACTTATAATAAATTACATCGTTAAATAACTCACTTTGATCGATTAACATCCGAACACCGACACAGTATTGTCCTTGAATATGAATTTAATTTGAGTTGCAGCTTGCTCTCTAATTTGAAATATTTTCTACTAATCTATTATATACTAGCATAATATCATTTGTGTAACTATGACTGTAATAAAGTGGCTGTAAATAAAAGTTGAGTTGCTGAGTTTACTTTCTAATTTGATACATTACTATCTTACTACTTTCTATGATACATTACTATCTTACTAAGTACTTTCTATGATACATTAAGTACTATCTTACTACTTTATATGATACATTAACTGTTTATAATCTATTATACAACAAGTAACTAGTATAAAGTTCTATAGCTGTAATAATAAGGTTTGTGATGGTATAGCCATTAATACTGGTTAAAATTTGCTGTCTTGTACAACTCTGTCTGACTAAGGTAAGTTACCATTGAATCAATGCACTGCATTAAACCCCCGTCACACCAGGCCCCGATCTCACTACGCTCGTACTGCACTCTAAGAACATGGTGGAAACGCGTAGAACGCAGTATGAACGTCTATGGACGTACTGCAATCGCAATGATCGGATCGAGCGCAGTACAGTCACCATGAGCGTGGAGAGCGTGGCCAAATTTTGAGCATGTTCAAAACAATTGTGGTGCGAGCGTGGCGGAAAGACAGCGCAGTGCGGGCGCATTAGAAACGTGGAAGGCGTAGTAGCCATGTAACTCGAGCGTAGTACGAACTTAATGATCGTATCGCAAGCGTGTCGACTGTCGGGTGCGTGAAAATTGTCTCCCCGTTCTCAGCACAACGTCAATACGTTTTCATCATGCTGTTACTACGTCTGAGCATGATTAAGTTGCACTAGGAGCGTGACTGGCGCGCAGTTGAGGCGCGGTGAGCGCTTAGGCGCAGTGAAAGCGTCGTTTGAACGCAATGCGATCAGATTGGTCGCAATAAAGACACAGTGGGCGCAGTGCAAGCGTGATGCGGGTGTGGTATGGAGCATGGTGAAAGCTTGTTGGGCGCAATGAGATCGGGGTAAAGACGCCCTTAGATCGTAGTCTCGGCGCTGGGGCCCAATTGTCCACGCTCGGCCAAATTTTTTGAGCGTGGGGCGATCGTGATGAACGTAGCTCTAGTGTGACGGGGGCTTTAGCTACAGTGCATACAGCAAGTTTCAGCTAGTAGACAATAGAATAAACAATGCACGCTGGATTGTAACATAATTATTTGATATCTCCTGCTTATTATGAGCTATAATACTTATAGAAATGTAATAGTTATCATATTGTAAAAATGCTCCAAAATTCAACTTGTGCTGTTCGTCACTTTTAGGTCACGTGACTACTATCGCTAGTGAGATGTTGTAGTGTAGATTAAGACCACACTACTAGTGTGTACTACTAATCACTACTATACACTACAAAATCTGCACTGTACAATCTAAACTACTACTAGTATTTGTTGTTGATTTCACTCAGTAGCACCAAGAAGCGTTCACATACCGAAAAATCGTGTGTATTGATGTCATTTTCCAATTTCTTGTGAACGGTATTTCAGATTGTATTATTGTAATACCCGTCGTGGGCCTGCCACACAGACCACACATCTCTTACCCGACGCTGCTCTCTGCACTTTCAGGATGGCTATGCAGGCCGGACAGTCGTGCCTGTCGTCGGCGTCGTCGAAGAGCAAGGAGATCGTCGTTCGCGTCTACATCTCCGAGGACGACATCCGCAAGATCCGCGTGATCCGGCCGTCGAGCCGCGAGCTGCTCTACCAGATCCTCGAGGCGCGCCTCGGCCTCACCAACATCAGCGTGCAGTACTACGACCGTGACCTCGACGGCTATGTCAACGTCGAGACGCTCGACGACATCACCGACAAGTGCACGCTGCGCGTCTTCCAGAACAGCGGCCGCGTCGTCGCGCCGCCGCCGGAGCAGATCATCGTGCCGATCGCGCCCGTGCTGCACCCTGGCGGCGGGCAGCGCGCGGCGATGGGCGAGGCGCCGGGTCGCGCCGGGGGGTCGGGCGTGTCGCCGCCGGCGAAGGTGCAGTCGCGCGGCGGCGGAGAGCGGCGCTCGTTGGGGAAGGACGACGGCGCGGCGGGCGGTCGCGGAGGCGGCGGCGACGTGGTGATGGGCAACGGAGAGACGCGCATGCAGCAACAGGGGCAGGGGTTCGGCGGCGGCGGTGGCTTGGGTGGCATGCGGAGGAGCAACCAGAGCGCGGACGTGTGGAGCAGTCGGCAGCGCGGCAGCAACGACCAGCCCGGCGGCCGGAACGGTCAGTCTAGCTCGGCCATGCAGAGCTTGAACGGGCAGTCCTCCTCCGGCCAGAATTTCTCCGGGCAGTCCGGTAACCAAGGCTATGGCAGACGGTCCAACAACTTGAACTTCGGCGGGCAGTCCGGTAACCAAGGTTACGGCGGGCAGTCCGGTAACCAAGGTTACGGCGGGCGGTCCGGTAACCAGGGATACGGCGGGCAGTCCGGCAGCAACCGGAACTTTGATGGGCCGTCCGGCAGCCAGATGGCCGCTCAGAATCTGCCAGGTGTCAACCTGTTTCGACCGCAGAGCTTGCAGTGGAAGCAGAACCTTCAGGCGCAGTCGCAGCCGGGCATGCCGCGTTTCTCCGGGCAGTTTGTCGGCTTCTCGCTCAGCCGGCAGAACTTCGGTCGTTATCCGAGGGTGCCATTCTGAGATCTCCGCTCGCACCTCCTTCGTCGCTCCCGATGACGCGGTGGAGGAGGATCTGCTCGTTCCTCCCCGGGCGCCCTGGTTCACGCTCTGTCCGGGCGGCGGCCGCGCGTCGCGTCTAGTTTGCCGGAGAACAGTGAATGCACCGCCAGAACTTTGTTAGCGGTCTTCACAATGACGTACGAGAGACCGATTGCGGTGAAACACTGAAGCGTGTGGAGACATCGACTAGGAGACGTTGTTGAGCCGGCGTCACGGTTTTTTTTAATGAAGCCCACCGGTTTGATATGTCGAAAGATTTTTAGCGGTTGAATCGAAGTATGGTGGCACACGGAACATTTTTAAAGTCGACCGGGTTTATTTCGATTTCGTTAATGTTGGTTGCGTGTGGTGGTAGGAGAACTAGTGAGTGACGACGAACGCTGATAGTAATAGAGGCATGCTGTAGGTGTAGCTGTTACTGGGGAGGTTGCCGTAATAAAAAACCTAAAGTGTAAGATATGTCGGAACAGTGTTTGAATCTTTACAACACGAGCACCAGTTTATCTCTCCATCTGGAATTCCACCCTGGTGTACCGATTCCTATTACTACGTCGTTTAGAACGCGATTTCATCAACGTTATTTTTACGACCTGATATTTTTATATATATATATATACTCTTTCCATAGCGGAGACCATATTGATGGAAAGAAACATAAGACTGATAGGTTTGAGATTCAGTACAAATCACAATGTTCAAGACTGTGGGTGGTAGTGATGATATAGCAACATAGCGGGACCAGGTTAAAGATATCAAAATTATGTGCAGTGGTACATGTATACGAAATAGCTATAGCCTTCATAGCTAAAGGACTATTGCTTCTGATATTGTCTTGTGCTGCGTCCCAAGTATGGGTAATCACAACCCCTTGTTTAATGACCTGTTGCTGTTCTTATAGCAGTGTAATTGGTGTCTTTTATGTACGTAAACAATCTGTGAGTTTATTCAAAGAACTGAATGATTGTGCAGTGTGCGATCACAATCATGTGTATAATAAACAAAGGTGTGAGTGTCGAAAATACACGAACAACTTCAACATTGGTTTAATTAGTATTTCATGAGAAGCAACTTGATAAAGGGTCATTTTGCGTGTGGCCAGTTTTACTAGCTTCATAGTTATTTCTAACTATCACTTTTTATATGGTTACAATGTAACATTTGACATTATTTTTCGTTCCTTTGGCACGACATGCGTGATACAACTACATGATGTTCATTTATTATGCTCTTTTATCTCTTGGTAGTATGTAGAAGATATTTTGACATGACTATGCAATATTAAAACAAAGGAATTACCAACCAAATATGAAGTAAAAGAAGATAAAACGTTACCAATATATAATATTAAACTTTCATGGATTTCTTGCTACAAAAAATTGTATTCACCTGATGATACACAAAAGTTTCAGTAGCACACATAATTAGGCAAGCACTACCATGAAACAGAAGCTAGACATTTCAGCATTACGTGACAAAACTAAACACAATGGTAAAATTCTCCACCTATTAAAATCGAAGACTGATAAAACGATGATCGACTTACGAGAAGTACGCGACTAAATCATAGTCTTGCACGAATCAGTTCTTCTCCTTTTTCGCGGGAGAATACGGCTCTTCTGCTTGTTTTCGCTTTGATTTTTTCACCTTCTTTACTTTTGCATCGGTACGATCGGCATCCACTCTCATATCGTCTTTCTTTCCTTCCGTTTCCTTCCCCTTCTTCTGTTTCTTCTGCTTGCTCTTCTTCTGCTTCTTTTCGTTCGTCGCGCTCTCGGCTTCCTCCTCCTCCGTCGATTCCCCGCCGGCCTGCTCCTTCTCCTTCACTATCCTCTTCTCTCCGGTCTCCTTCCCTCCCGTCTTCAGGCTCTTCCTCACCTCTGCGACAGCATCCTTCCACGCGGCGGCGACGCGCGGCCCCTGCATCGCCTCGAAGCACTGGTCCCTCATCTTCCGCGGCAGCGACGGAAACAGCGCCACGACCGCCGCCGCCAGCTCGTCGCTCCAGAACGCGGCGCCCTCTGGCGGCGATGATCGCGCCATCACGCCGAGCAGCGCAACGAGCTCGCGCGCAAACGAGCTGCCGCCGCCCGCGCGCGCGCCTCGCCGTCGCCGCGGCAACCCGCCACGCGCCGACCGCCCGAGAAACTCCGCCGCGTCGCCGTCATCCGCCCGCGCGGTGCGCTGGCGTAGCAGCGCGACGAGCGCGCGCAGGACGAGCGCCCTGCGCGAAGGGCCGCGGCGCCGGCTGCAGGAGCGCGAACAAAGTCCTCCCGCAGCGCCCACGCGGACGCGCGCTGCCCCCGCGCCGCCTCCTCGAACAGCCGCCCGGCAGACGCCGCCGACGTAGCAGTCGCGCAGCAGCGTGCGGCAGCGCGCTCGGTGCGCCCTCTTCCGCCCCGCGGCGGCGCCCCTCGCTCGCGGCGCACGGAGGTCGACGAGCGAGGACACGATCTCGCGGCGACGGCACGGCCGCGCGGGGCCCGTCTTCGCCGCGGCGGCGCGCGCCGTCTCGAGCAGCGAGGCGAGGCGCGTGTCTTCGACCGAGGCGCCGCGCAGAGTCTTGACGCCGGCGGCGACGAGCGTGGCGAGACGCTCGGGCGCGACGGCGTCCTCGCCGCCCCCGGTGGCTCCCTCTCTGAGAGGCCGACGCGGAGGAGGCGGTCGAGCGAGTCGACGAGGACGGTGGCCGGCGTCGCCTTGCTGTGAGCGAGCATGTCCAGCAGCTCCAGGCATCTGCAACAAAAATCAGAGAGCGCTCGGGCCGTAATTACACGCGTCCGATTTGGGAAGCATGGACCGTGATTAATGGGATGCAGATCTCCTGCTACTACTAACCCGATGAGTAAAGGCAATTAAAGGTCTCGACCATCTCTATGTGATGCAGATTCTTTGCTACTACCCCACGAGAGTAGGCCAAGGCCCGGACCGTCTCTATAGGACGCAGATCTACTGCAACTATCATCTGCAACGAAATCACGGAGTGCCCGGTGAGACACATTCAAAAGGAAGGCATGAGCCGTCTCTACGGGACACAGGTCTACTGAAACTACCCCCAGGAGAGTGAAGGGGGAGGTCTGGACCTGTCTCTACGGAGCACAGGTCTACTGAAACTACCTCCAGGAGGGTGAAGGGAGAGGTCTGGACCGTCTCTACGGACACAGATCTACTAAAACTACCCCCAGGAGAGTGAAAGGGGAGGTCTGGACCGTCTCTACAGGACACAGGTCTACTGAAACTACCCCCAGGAGAGTGAAGGGGGAGGTCTGGACCACCTCTACGGGACACAGGTCTACTGAAACTACCCCCAGGAGAGTGAAGGGGGAGGTCTGGACCGTCTCTACAGGACCACGGTCTACTGAAACACCTCCAGAAGAGTGAAGGGGGGGGGGTCTACTAGACCGTCTCTACGGGACACAGGTCTACTGAAACTACCCCCAGGAGAGTGAAGGGGGAGGTCTGGCCTGTCTCTACAGGATGCACGTCCTCTACCACTACCCTATCTGGATTTAGCCATCTTATTCTGTTAATACGAATCGCAGAGCACTCAGCGGTTAGACATGTGCGGATTTGGAGGCGTGAACCGTCTTAACGAGACATAGGTCTACTGAAACTACCCACATATGAGTGTGAAGGGGGAGGTCTGGCCCGTCTCTACACGAGCAGATCACTACTCCCCATGAGTGAAGGCTGAGTTCAAACCCTCTCTAAAGACGCAGATGCACTGCCACTAACCCGATTCGAAAAGGCTGAGGTTCGAACTTCGAACCGTCTCTACACGATGCAGATCCACCGCTACTACCCTAGTAGTGCAGGCAGAGGCCTGGCGCATGTCTATAGGATGCGATCTACTGTAACTGCCCCCATAGAGTGGCAGGCAGAAGCCTGACCCATGTCTATATGATGCGGATCTAATGTAACTACCACCATGAGTGCAGGCAGAGGCCTGGCCCATGTCTATAGGATGCGGATCTACTGTAACTACCCCCATGAGTGCAGGCAGAGGCCTGGCCCATGTCTATAGGATGCAGATTTACTGTAACTACACCCATGATTGCAGGCAGAGGCCTGACCATGTCTATAGGATGCGGATCTAATGTAACTACCACCATGAGTGCAGGCAGAGGCCTGACCCATGTCTATAGGATGCGGATCTAATGTAACTACCCCATGAGTGCAGGCAGAGGCCTGGCCCATGTCTATAGGATGCGGATCTAATGTAACTACCACCATGAGTGGCAAGCAGAGGCCTGACCCATGTCTTATGGATGCGGATCTAATGTAACTACCCCCTGAGTGGCAGCAGAGGCCTGACCCATGTCTATAGGATGCGGATCTAATGTAACTACCCCCATGAGTGCAGGCAGAGGCCTGGCCCATGTCTATAGGATGCAGATCTACTGTAACTACCCCCTGGAGTGCAGCAGATGCCTGGCCCATGTCTATAGGATGCCAACCTACTGTAACTACCCCCGGAGTGTAGGCTGAGGCCTGGGGGCCGTTGTCAGAAAAATCGTATTAAAGTGAATGCTAATGTTTTGGAATAGCCATTTGTAAATGTTTTGTTTTGTTTTATGATCAGTAGATAATTAATGATTTTGACTGTTTTTCAAGAAAAACACATATTTTATTCATTATTATTATCACTATAATTGTAATTCGTAGTGTAATATGTTATTTTCACTTAATATAAAGTTACGAGAGGGTCTGGGCTCTCGTAAGTTAATAAGAGGATATTTTCGAGGATTTTTCATTCTCGTAACTTTGCGATGTTCTGTCAACGGTTTACGAGTGGAAGTTAATGTGGCTAATTTTGTTTTCTGCCAACGGGCCCTGGCCCATGTCTATAGGATGCGGATCTACTGTAACTACGCCCGTGAGTGCAGGCAGAGCCTGACATGTCTCTGTATAGGAGGCAGATTCACTGTCACTAACGGCATGTCCCTCACTCAAAAATTAACACTAAGACAAGAACTCGTACGCCAAAACTACCCACCACATTCCTCTCGTATGTTAACTTGTACACTAAGACAAAAATGCTCAAATCATGATCTGAGATACCTGGGGTTAGGACCCGGCCATCTCCGCGTCGGTGATGAAGGAGTCCCCCCCCCTCTCCTATCGACAAGAACTAACCTCATCTTGAGTCCTCGCATGCAAAAAACTAACACTTGTACACTAAGACAAAAACGTTTACATCACAATCGAGATATCGCGGGGCACCTAGTCATCTCCGCCTCACCAGGGTGGGACCCCGCTCCCTCCTCGCGACGACGATGGCTACCAACCTCATCTTGAAGTGGAGAACTCGCGGGCGGCCTTCCTCTGCTCCTCCTTCGTCGACTTCTTCTGGCTGCGGAAGGCGTCGGCGTGACCGCGTCGAGGCGGAACATGGCGTCGTCGTCGAGGTCGGGCTCTGACTCGGGTCGCTGTGCGCGGCCGCCTCCCCGAGCGCTCCTTCACGGCCGCGCGAAGCCCCTCGTCCACCTGCAACCAATCACAAACGCTCGTCATCGCTCCGACGCGCAAATCTCCTGTTACGATTGCAATCTCGTCATCGCTCTGACGCAGAAATATTCATTTTTTTTCGATTCTAGGGACGATTGCAAACCCTCTTTAATTAGATAAGCCTCTCTCCCGGAGCGTCAAGCCTCAAAAAAAAGCATAGCGTTTTTTGTGTGGATGTAATCTCATAAAAACTGATGACGTGCAAAAATGAATGAATTATTAATATTATTATTTAAAATCGTGATTATGTAAAACCGTACGAAACATGGGCAATTAAAGCCGATTATAATAGTGTCGTTTATCCACTTGTAATTTAGTTGTTAACTGAAATAATTAATTAGGTACTAAGGGCATCTACTATGTCAGAAACGTGAACAAATTATCAAAATATTTGTGGGATTTTTAGCCCAACTAACGACATTGAACGACTTTGACAATTTTATATCACTAAAGGGATGTGCCAGCGACAAGCCTAAACCGGCGCGAAACCCGCCATTCCACCAACCTCTGCATCATCATCATCGTCGTCGTCATCGTCGTCACTTTCCTCCTCAGACTCCTCCTCATCTTCTTCGTCTCCGCTGCCCTCCTCCGCTTCCATCTCTCCTCCCTCCTCTCCTCTCCTCCTCCTCATCCTCGCGCTGCCGTCTTTGCGCTCGTGTTTAGAACGTCGACAAGGCGGGCACAGACCCGCATGTTAGCTCTGGATGAGAAGCCTGAACGCCTCGAGCAGCAGCGGCTTGCAGAGATGCTCGGGCCGCGAGAGCAGCCCCGTGACGACGTCAGCAGCACCGCCTGCCATCCCGCTCCTCCCCCTCCTTCTCATTCTCCCTTCCTTTGTCTTCTTCGCTCCTTTCTCTTCACTTTCTTTCCTTCCCCTTCCCCTTCTTCTCCTCGTATGCTTTGCTCTGGCAGACGAGGACGTCGCTGAGCGAGTCCTCAACCTCCTCCGGCCCCACGAACAGCTGCAGCGCCGCGTAACCCACGAGCCGTCGACAGCGCCACGCGACGCCCGCACGCTCCCCGGCCGCGCGCCGCGCCTCGAGGTCGGTCGCCGCGGCGACGGCGGCGCGCCACAGCTTCTCGTGCCGGCGCGCGAAGGGCCTCGTCTGCGCCGCGCTCCCCGCAGCTCATCGCGCGCGCTGGAGGAGTTCGTACATCGGGTTTCGCTTGGCGGCAATCTCCCGGCTGGTGGCCCTCCACACGCCGAGCTTGAAGAATCGCGCGGAAAGCGCCGCGTGTTCGCCCGCGTCGAGCGGCGGAGAGGGGCCGCCGCCGTCGTCGTGGACGTCGTCGAAGAACGCGTGCGCGAGGACGAACTTGATGGTCGCGTCGGCGACGGCGGCGGGGGCGTCTCGCGTCGCGCGGCGCACGCGCGCGCTCGCAATCGTCTGTAGCCGCTCGATGGCCACGCGCGCGCGCGCCCGCCATCTCCCCCGCGCCGCGCTGCCGAGCCGCGATCGCCCGAGAACGCGTCGCGCAGCAGCGGCTCGAGCGCGTCGTGCGCCGCCGGCGCCATCTGCCGCGCGATCGTCTCCTCGAGCCTCGCGTGCGCCGCACACGCCGGCGCCGCCTCGCCGACGATCCGGTCCACGCGCTCACCTGGGCGGCGGCCGGAGCGTGGCTCAGCGCCGCCGCGACGTCGTCTGCCGCGCGCGCCGCCGCGCCGTGCAGCGTGTTGCCCGCGTGCTGGAGGTCGCGAGCAGCGGCGCGGACAACGCGCGGACAGAACGACCGCGGCGCGCTCAGCGTCTCGTCGGTGAGCGCGGCGAGGCGGCGCGACGACGCGATACGCGATCGCGACGCGCGTCTTCCGCACGGCGTCGCCGACAGCGCGTCGTCGACGAGCGCGTGCCAGAAACGCTCGAACGTCGCTCGGGCGTCGCCGGGCGGCCATCGTCGCGACGAGGTCGCGAGCGAACGGGTGCAGCGCGGCGGCCGGGTCGCGCTGCCGCGCGATTGCCGCCGCGATCGCCGCGAAGTTCGCCTCGCACGTGAGCGGCGCGTGCGACCAGTGCTCGGCGACGAACGCCGGCGTGACGAGGGGGGAGGGGGGGGGGGGGTCGGGGTGGCGCGTCTCGCACGCGAGCAGCAGACGCAGCGTGTCGGGCGTGCACGCGTCCCAGCCGCCGCGCAGCCCTCCGCTCAGCGTCGGCCACAGCTGCTTGCGGAAGCGGCGCTCCGTGCTGCAGGAGACGAGGCTCACGAGTGCCTCGGCGACGAGCGGTTCGAGCGGTGGCCGCGCCAACTGTAGCTCCAGTAGCTGCGTCAACACGGGTTCAACGTGAGCACCTGCCAGGGGAAGGGAAAGAAGGTTTCAGGATGCCAAACTTTAATTTTATACTCTAACTGGCAGTGCTTCTTAAACTATTTCAGTTTCATTTACCCTTGAGTCTTTATCACAAAATTTCGTTCACCCGCGACTAAATTTCCTTATGTTTTTGGTAATTTTCATTCACTCTTGGATGTGCCAGTTTAAGAAGCAGTCTAACAGATGGGGCAGAACATCGAAATGATTTGCCATTCCACCTGCTTTAATTAGCTAACAATTCAGTGATAACTCAGCTATTAATATAAAAACAGAATATATGAATCTTTTGGTTTTTCACTATGGCTATTATGCATATGCGGATGATAATCCCTTCCTACAATTTTCTACCATTCATATTGCAATGAAGATATTTTCACACCTATTGGTGCTGGACTTTTATAAGTACATAGTACTAATTGTAGTAATCACCTTTATCTTTCTGAAGTTTTCCAGACACGATGAGACACTGGTAGACGAATATACGACCAATCGCGCAGTTCTTCTGTTCCTCCTTCTTGCCCTGGATCTTGAGATGCTGTTTCACTAGAGATAAAACGTCTTCGCAGGTGACCGAATCAAATTCTTTCAGCAGCTGTGAAGACAGCAAATAGAAAATAAATAAACAATGCATGACTATACAGCCATACAAACATCGGTGGGCAAGTGACTTTTACTGCATGGTTGCCCATCTGATTAAATTCCAGCATTTATTCTCCAGCATGACATAATGCATGGGTTCTTGCCAGGCCTTCAAGGCAATAAGGATCCGACATACGTTCAAAGCTGAAGCTAATTTGCGTCATCCCACATAAATTGTCCGACATGCCTTAATTAATGTCCAATCCACATTCCTTAATTTCCAGCCTTTGACAATCTTAATTAACACAATTGTTATTAAAATTGTTGTAATTGTTGTGTGTTTGTGTGTTGTTGTAAAATTGTTGTAATTAAAAACAATTGTCTGTGACAATAAGCTGTCCACAAACGACATGCCTTCTGAAATTCCTGGGGGAGAAGCCAGACATGTATATATATAGTCATACCTCCGTGAGCAGAGTAGGGAAGCCAACCCTGATGCACTCTCGCCCGCTCGCCATGCCTTTGACCAGCCGAGTGACGGCGTACTTTACTTCCTCGCACGTTTCCTCTCCGTCCCCGGTGGCCTTCTGCTTTAGGATCAACTGCTCGACGAGCTGCGTTGCCGAGTTCAACCTCAACTCTTGCTTGCAATCGCCTAAACATGCAGAGAAATATAGAGAATTTACTTTAGCAGCATTAGCAAGTGATTGATAGTAGATTGATAGTACTGATTGGTAGCAGTTTAATATTAATATGAGCTCCTGTTGTGTGTGGTGTGGTCAATCCTAGCTTGGGACTTGTTTTATGTGTGCGTTTAAAGATCTAACCGGGAGCTCACTGCCACTGGGCCAGGTGAAGTGGGGATCAGATGTGAAGGATGAAACTGGAAGCTGAATGGTGTCGATTAGTCAATTTAGTGGTGTACCTACTGTACAACACAGTACTACTACTACTAGTAGTAATATGTACATACTACTACAGTACTGTCAGTAGTACTAGTAGTAGTACTACTACTAACTACTAAATCCACTTTAGGCACCTTAGGCTTAGGGTATCACAAAGTGATGCACAGATTTCTGTGTATCATCAACTGATGACAGACTTTCCGTATATCAAGGAATGATGCAAAAACCCGAACCCTAACACTAAGTCATAAAGTATAACCTTAGGTATCACGAAGTGTGTTAGGGTTAGGGTTAGGGGTAGGGGGTAGGGCCAGCCAGAGGGGGTGCCTAAAGTGGATTTGCGCCCTTTAGTATAGACTCTCTAGTAGCTTAACTACATACTGAGATTGTCCCAAAGACGAAGCATGTTCGTCTTGGTGCTCTGTACTTCAGCGGGCATCTTGCTCCTCGGTTTTTATATTAATAACAGTATTTCAAATATATTCAGTTCAGTAGGCCTACACAACATAACGATGATAACATCATGCTTCCACGCTTTCGCGTGGTGAAATAATTGGTGTTCACTTGTTACCGGTGAGCCGCGCTGCGCGCGCATGGTTTCGTGAGAAGTGTTTGTTGTTGGACTTTGTCGATGTTTTTGGTTCCTTTGTAATTGTTGTATTTACAGTTTATTTAATCTTTCTTCGCCTTCTACGCGACATCACTTCGTCACAGTTAACTAAAGTAGGTTTTAAGTGTACTGAGTTTGTTTTCAGTAGAACACATTGTTACTGTTAGTGACTCACTGACTCAGTGACTGGCAGGACGTTTGCACACTGTGAATGTTGTAGTCTGTAGTGTAGAGTGTACTGTAGTGTACGTGTTGTGCCCAAACTTGGAATCTTGCACAAACTTGGAATTTCAGTGCATCCACAGTTTGTGCAACCAATCTTGAGATTGGGCAAACAGAGGTAAACAGAGCTTGGGCAAACAGAGGTAAACAGAGCTTGCACAAACATATGATTATTAGGATTTCAAATGTTATATCATAACTATAACTTAAGGTCGTATATAGTAATATACCTTCTTTCCTCAATGTGTTTGGCACCTTTCTATAAATATTAAATGATTATAATAAATAATTGGGTAGTATAAACTCGCTATGAGCGGTTGTTGAATCACCGACTGTTTTCAGTTTGCCCAATCTTGAGATTGGTCAGCCAAACTAGGGAATCCGCAGTTTGGGCAGCACAATCGCTGCACAATCTCGAGATTGTGCAGATTCCAAGTTTTGGGTATCGAACATAGGCACTGACCAGGCTGTGTGGCTAACGTCAATATACACAGGTCTTCTAACCCTAGCAAAGACCGTTTCTTGGAGCTATAGACACTGTAGAATGTAGTTTACTAGTTGTAACTTGTACTGAGTTTGTAGACTACAGTACAGAGTACAGCGTACTGTACAGTACTGAGTACATTGTCAGTGTACACTCACAATGTACAGCACACTACTTGGCCACAACTTGGCATATCTTAAAATTGCCTTCTCGCTTTTTAGCTCATCTGACGAAGTCAGATGCAGCTTGTAAAATCACATTAGCGTGCGTCCGTCAGTGCGTCCGCTGGTCAACAGTTGGGCACAAATCTTAACCGCTCGACGTACGGTCACGATATTCGTGACGTCGGGGGGGGGGGAGGATCGTGAAAGGACTCGGAGTGACCATTTTGGGGTCAAGGGTCAAAGGTCAAGATGTGTAAACGGAGGGGCATATTTCCCCCTGAACCGGCTCGACCTATGCGTGGTGTGCTTGTATAGTGTGATGGGCAGAAACCCATTACAGTGCAAAATTGGAGGTCACAGGTCAAAGGCAGTGGGGAAAAGTCAGATATCAGACATTTTCTGAGGACATAGCCTAATGGACAGAGTGAACACTTTTTGGTTTCAGCACTTCGAACCTAACCATTTTTATCACTTTATTGCACGAAAGACCATGAAATGTGCTTTCCACTGACGTGCGAAGAGTAAGTGTCTGATAACTTTTTGACCGCTTAAGAGGAGGTTAAACATGGATTTGTTGACTGTTAACAAAGGACAACTGTGTTGAATGTACTTGTGTGATCGTGGAAGACTGTGATCGTGGAAATTCTGCATGCAAAAACTTACTTGAACAACGTTTATGCCGCCCTTAAATCATATATGAACTTCATTCTCTATATGAGATTCTGTACGTTGAGAATACAATGTCAATAGCACTTATCAAAACTCTGTTTTTGATTAAGGCCAACTATAAATAGTCCTACCTTGCATAAAGCCTGTATAGCCGAACGCGTAGAGCACAGGCGTCACGGCTGAAAGGTGTTGGATCGAATCCCATCTGTTTTTTAATTAATTTTCCTGTTTTCTGTATTTTTCTATCTTTATCTATTTAACTATTTTTTCCAATTAACGCAAATATTTACAGATTTATTTACAACAATTTAATAACAACAAATAATGTTTACAATAATCAAATTTTTTTTAATATGGTTAGGAGCAGGGAAAAAATTAAAAAAAAAAATTCCGGGGCTCTTTTTTGCAAACCCCCCAAAATTCGGGGCTACTTTTTCATTTTTCAGGGCTCTTTTCCACTTTCCAGGCAACTTTTTTCACAGAAGCTCAGGGGTTTGAGAAAGCGGCCCGCGAGGCACGTGTGTATGGCTGTGCAATCGACGCTGCGTACGTGCTTGCTGGCAGGGCGGCATTGATTGAAGTATGGGGGGGGGGCACAATTGTTTTCAGAGCGTGTAACTAATCACTACTAAAATGTAGAGGGTTGGCATTGCTGGACTATGAGAGAGCGACAGCAAAACTCTTTCGGGGAATTGACGAAAAGCTACCAATCGGGAAATGCACACGAGTTGCCGCAGGGAAAAATATACGTGTGAATTTCATTAGGATTTTCCATGATCACCGTTCTATAAACCTACGGCGTTGCGTCCTACGGGTCTCTACGTAGGCACGCCCGGCAGGCACACATGCACGCACGCATGCAGCACGCATTGCACGCGCGCAGGCACACACGCAAGCACGCCCTCAGGCACACCGGCACACACGGGCGCGCACACATGCACGCGCGCAGGCACACACGCAAGCACGCCCTCAGGCACACCGGCACACACGGGCACGCACGCACACACGCGCGCAGGCACACACGCAAGCACGCCCTCAGGCACACCGGCACACACGGGCACGCACGCACACACGCGCGCAAGCACACACGCAAGCACACGCACAGGCACACAGCCACACACGTATATACGCGCGGGCGGCAGCGCCTGCTTGATTGAATCAAGAGTAGATAATATAATATCCGTGCAAGATTACGATTTACAGCAATACGCTAGCAAATATATGTAAACGAATATCAGTACCACGAAGGTGAGTGATTAGTGGTCATAATAAGCGGAGAAACGTATACACTTGCTTTTTTATTGGTGGCAAATTTTGATGAGAAAATCGGTTAAAAATGCGGGAATCGGGTGTCTCCCTCTTGTTATATTATCTACTCTTGATTGAATGCAATACAGTACAGTACACACATGTATGCATGCTTAAATGGTAAACACTTGACAGTCACACCGTACCATGAATTCTACCGCGCCAGGGAACCGGCTGCTGCTAGCGGCATAGGCCTAGGCATCGCAGCGCAGCAACGCCGAGCGAGAGCGGCAAGGGGCGGGACCGACCTGGACAATCGATTTCCAGGGCGACTTTTTCTTTTGGGGCCGCCTTCGATATCATGTTTTCGGGGGCTCTTTTTGGCATTTCGGGGGTGAAATCACCCGCCGCCCCTGTGTATTTTTTTCCCTGGGTTAGGTTTAGGGTCACAATGCACCATAAAACAGAAGTTTCAGGCACGTGATTTGTATCAACCAATGGGATTTGGGAGGTATGCAGGCCCTAGCTGCATATGTCAGGTGGGTGGCTGATAGTATCACAGCATGGGCTAAACGAAGGTAGCAACTAGTTCGATTATCTATTCCCTGCACATAGTCAGTATGCACGCCATCTATCGAAACAGAGTGAGAAGAATGTCTTGGCAAGATAGGTCAAATGTATATTGCGCTCAAAAGTGCAGAAAGAATTACTTTCTTAACTTTAGTTTAATCAATCTTGAGATAAGTAAAATTGCAGAAATGAATCGTCAAACCTACCAATGAAAATTTGACAGTTTTGTACTTTCCTTGACATATGGCTCTCTCCGTCGACGTTACAGTAGTGTGCAATGTCGGGATATGGTGGAGCATGCTGGCTTGTGGATGCTGCAGAGCCCGATGGTTGACTGTCAGTCGAAATGTGTTGATCCTCCCCGACATTGAAGAAATCTGTACGTTATACGTGCGTCTGCCTTACCTCTGCCCGCCATCTTCGTCAAAAGTTTGGACGCCGCGTGGCGAAATCGGAATGTACATTTCGATCGATGACGTAACTGATACAGTAGCGCGCCGCGTGGGTGTTATTAAACAATTTAGTCTGACTAACTCTCTCTCTCTCTCTTTCTCTCTTTCGCCCCCCTCTCTCTTTTCCTCTCTCTCGCTCTCTCTCTCTCTCTGCAATAAAATTTTTTTTTGCTGAAATGATGTGCACACAACTGCGTATCTGCATATCTGCACCTAACAAACACAAAGGTGTCACTACGCACGACTGAAATGTTACGCTTATAACCGTAGCAACAGACCTCAGATGAGCCCAGTCGCTCTGCGGCACTTGTTATTACGTAAACGGTAAACAGTCGTAGTCTGGTTGGGCTAGATACTGTACTGTACCTGTACAAGTAACGTATTCAACTCAGGCCAGGCAGTGGCAGTGCCAGTGTAAACATTTGTATAACTTCGTCTACAATAAACTAGCTCTTATATTATAAGTAATATAACTATAGTCACTTAGTCAGTCAATAGTCTTCGCTGTGCTGAAATGATAAATTTATTTAATAAATTTATTATTAATTATCTACAAAGTCCTACGTCGATTATTACGTACTTGGGTCATTCAACTTGCAGGCAGCAGTACCGGCGATGACCTCGCACTCGTATTAAACGATGGACAGCGAGTACATCAGAGATGGCCGGCTCATGGACATTGTTGACGAGGCGTGGCGTGCTGAGAAGCTTCCGGACGATCTCATCGCCGTGCCCGTGATGGAACTGCCCGAACTCGAGCCCGACAACGGACACAGCAACGAGACGCTGCGTGAGCAGGAGCAGAAGTGGAACGACCTCGCGCTGAGCAACCTGCACGACCCTCCGCCGACCTCCAGCAACAGCTAGAGCGGAGATCTATCGGAGACCAGAGACGTAGAAAGTCGTTCCGTACGTCGACCGTTCGCGGCCTGTTTCGCGTGTGCTGTGGTGGAGATATTTCGAATTTCTCTACGACAGTTCACTGCCTGTTTCGCGTGTGCCGTGGTGGAAATATTTTGAATTTTTTTGACGAACGTTCGCAGGCGATTACGCGTGCGCGTGGCGGTAGCGATATTTCGAGGCTTCACAACTATTCCTACTGGTGCCCGAGCGCACGGCAGGGGACATCACGACGCTACGTTGACAGTACAGTCAACGTTGCGTGCTGACACGTGCTACGGTAAGGATTATCACGGCGCTCCCTCGTTCGTTCGTACCACGCGCGCATACTCGCTGTGCACGGACAAGCGGCTGCAGGTAATGGACAAGTGCGACGCCGACGCGAGATTGCTCAGCGTGGAGGCAGACGCCGCCGTTCGCGAGGTCGCCTTCGCCGTACAATCGATATCCGTCTCGCCAACGTTTCCCAACAGCGAGCGCACCTACCGTCTCGACCTGTGCACGCTAGAGGGCGCCGCGTACTGCATCGAGCTCACGTCGGAGGGATTCCGCGTCGTCGACGGCGACGGGCGCTACTTTGAGACGATCTACTCGCTGCTCGGCGCCACCAGTCCGCGCTACCGTCTCATGTTCGGCGGCGCGCTTGCCAGCAAGCTAGCCGAGTTGGCGCAGCGCCAAGAAAGGGAGGCGGGCGACGAGGACAGCGGTGAGGAGGCGATGAGGCACTGAGACGTCGTCCCGGCAACCACGAATGAAGGGACAAGCGTATATATATGTACATACGATCATATAGGACGAGTATAGAAAAGTGTGTGTTCATATAGGACAAGGATACAAAAGTGTGTGAACATTTATATATATACGACAAACATACGTGCATACGGTCATATAAGACAGATACACATGCGTGCGATTATATAGGACAAAGATATACTTGCATACGATCATATAGCACAAACATACGTGCATACGATCGGACAGCACAAACGCACACCCGTGCGCGATCGTACAACGATCGATCGTAGAAACAAGTGCGCCCACACGACCCCCCTCTCTGTGTCTCGCTCTATCCAAGATGGCGGCGAGCCGCGAGAAGCGCGCGAACGCTGGCAACCGCATGGGGCGGCTGCTCGAGGAGGAGGAGGAGGCCGGCGAGGACGCTGCTTTCTACGCGACGACGTACGGCGGATTCGCCGACGCCGACGACGATGTCGAGTACGAGTCGGCGGACGACCCGCTCGCCGCCGCCGCGTCCGACGACTCGGCCGACTCGGACATCAGCGGCAGCGAGGACGACGAGCCAATCAGCGACGACGACGGCGACGACGGGCGGCTGCGGAAGAAGCGCGGCGGCGTGTACACGAAGGCGTACACGGAGCGGCCGCAGGAGAAGAAGAGGAAGGAGGAGGGGAGGAAGGAGGAGGGGAAGGCGGCGGCGGCGGGGAAGGGGGCTCCGGGGAGGAAGAAGCCTGGGCCGAAGCCGAGGCAGAAGAGAACGCGATCGTCGCTGCATCACATCGACACGTCGGCGATCATTTATTCGTCAGGTGGGTGTGCGCGGATGATGTTAGCGGCGGAGGTGGTGGTAGTGGTGGTAGTACAGTAGTGCTGTTGGTAAAGGAAGTAGTGGTGGTGCTGGTTGTGGTTGTGGTAGAGGTGGTGGTGGTGGAATTAGTAGTTGATGTGTTGTTGGTTTTATTAGTGATGGCAGTAGTGGTATTGGTGTTGTGTAGATTATATTTCATGTAATTATTTTTGCAATTTGAGTACAGCGTCATTTTAGTTTCACTTCAGGCATTATTATGTGTGATAATACATGTGCACTGAGAATTGTTTTGGAAAATGCATGGTGTACATATTTTCACTTTCCACCAGAGAGGAAGTCTGTCAGAAAAGTCACCGAGGAGAGAAGAAAGGAGCTACAGAAGCGGCTAAAGGAGCAGGATGAGCAAAAGAAGAAGCAGAAGGAGAGGGCTGCTGCCAAGAGAAGGGGGGAACCTGAGGTATGATATCACAAATATGTACTCACTTAATGATAATCTGCATCTCACATATGCGATAACATTTACATACATGTAATACCTTTTTTCCGATATTACTTGCATGTAACCTCTCTCTCTGCCATGATTTCTGGCAAGTAACCTCTCTGCAATGATTTTTGGGAAGTAACCTCTCTGCCATGATTTCTGGCAAGTAACCTTTCTGCCATGATTTCTGGCAAGTAACCTCTCTTCCATGATAGCTGGCAAGTAACCGATCTGCCATGATAGCTGGCAAGTAACCGACCTCTGCCATGATATCTGACAAGTAACCTCTCTGCCATGATTTCTGGCAAGTAACCTCTCTGCCATGATTTCTGGCAAGTAACCTCTCTGCCATGATAGCTGGCAAGTAACCAAGCTCTGCCATGATATCTGACAAGTAACCTCTCTGCCATGATTTCTGGCAAGTAACCTCTCTGCCATGATATCTGACAAGTAACCTCTCTGCCATGATTTTTGGGAAGTAACCTCTCTGCCATGATTTCTGGCATGTAACCTCTCTTATGTAGAACCTCTCTTATGCGTAACCTTGTCACTGTGGCTGCCTGCGCGTACCCTCTATCGGTCTCTTGCGTACACGCCCTTCCTCTCCCGCGTGCTGCAGGTGAGGAGGCTCACGCAGGAGGAGCTGCTAGAGGAAGCCAAGGTGACGGCGCTGGAGAACCTCAAGTCCCTCGACATGTACCTGAAGATGGAGCTGGAGAAGAAGAAGGCTCGGCAGCTGAAGCAGGTCTACAAGGGACCGGTCATCCGCTACCACTCCGTCACCATGCCGCAGATTGAGGACATATCGTCCGAACTCAAGGAGGTATGGACCACGAGTGAGATTGGCCGGTTCCTCTCCGCGGAAGGTGTCGAAGTGGCGAGCACGAGCGATGCAGTTTCTTTGTCGACGTTTTAGCCACTGCGTTTTTCAACATTCTGCATTTAATTATATAGTATAGTGTGGTAGTGCAAAAATTGCATTGTTAATTAATTAATGCGTTAATTGCTGGTGAAAATTGAATTAAATTAAAATTATTTTGTTAATTAACGTTAAAAACAACCCCAACTGTACAAAATGTGTAGCGCGCCAGCCAAAATCGGTGAAAATCCTGGGAAATGTGCAGTGTGACGCCTTTAATGTCTGTGAAAGGCGGCGTCAGCATGGCAGCTGCACTATTCGTACTTGTCCTACACCGTCCGCTCTCTTCTTTTGTAGATCCTGCAGGAGGAGAGGATAGACGTTGACGGTGTCGACACGGAGGTGAAGAACAAGCCCGTGATAAAGGAGGAGAAGTGCGCTCGTAGTTTCATATCCTTCACAGACGACAAGGTATGGGAGGAGAGGGACGGAAGGGAAGAAGGAAGGTGTGGTGGTGGGGGAGTGGGGAGGAGAAGTGTGCTCGTAGTTTCATATCCTTCACAGACGACAAGGTATGGGAGGAGAGGGACGGAAGGGAAGAAGGAAGGTGTGATGGTGGGGGAGGGGGGAGGAGAAGTGTGCTCGTAGCTTCATATCCTTCACAGACGACAAGGTATGGGAGGAGGGGTAGGAAGGGAAGAATGAAAGTGTGGTGGAGGAAGAGGAGAAGCAGGTGGTGGAGGAAAAGGAGAAGTAGGAACAGGTGGTGGAGCAGCAGGAGGAACAGAAAATACTCGACCGCACGCCGTACCCCCATCACTCACTCATCACTAGATCTCTCTCTCTCCCTCTTCCTCTCTCACGCTTACTCTCTCTCCGCAGGTCTTCGACGCCTACTTCCCGCAGAAGAAGCCCAAGCCGCCTCTGCGCTACGTGTGTCCGATCACGCGGCTGCCTGCGCGCTACTTCGACCCGATCACGCAGTGCCCCTACGCAACGCTCGCCGCCTTCAAGAAGATCCGCGCTCTTTTCTACGGCGCGCTCGACCAGAAGGCCGGCGACGCGAACAAGTCGCCCGCGCTGCAGCGCTGGCTCGAGCACCGCGCCAAGGTCAAGGCCGAGCAGGTTGCGCGCTTCGGAGGAAAGATGGCTGCCGCGGCGGGCGGCGGGGGTTTGGCGGCGGCCGCGGCGAAGCGGTCGTGACGCGGCGGGGTTGTTTTGCAGGCACACGGAGGCGTTGGATGGCAACCGCAGAGACGCCCGGGCGGTCGTACATGCGACGAGATTCGTGGGGGGGTTTGCCGGACAGGCAGACGCGCGACCAGGCGCACGGTAGGGTATGTTCAAGCGATTGTTACGACACAAGTGGGACCTCTCTCCGTGCGCCGGGTCGTGTGGTGGCTGCGTCGCGTTCCTGGTGGGGTTTCTCCGGGTGTTTTCCGACGAGAGACGTGATCTAGCGCACAAAGTAAGGTTGTTTGGTGGCTGGGGTCGCGGTTTCAGCGGTGAAGGCGAGTTCTTTATGATGTAGCTCCGGGCTAGTAGTTAAGTCGTTAACAATCGTGAATTTTTTTCTCTCTTAGTCTAGATTTGATTGGTAAATTTATTCGGAAGTTAACATGCTGTGAAGGAAATAACTGAACGTAGTTGACCTATTCCATGGTGTACTAAATTTGTAACCAATGCAATGTGTTTGCACGGCAATTGTGGGGAATGGTAAAAGTCGCTGTAACTTCGTTTGTATCTGCAGTTTGCAATGACGAAAATAAAGGAGTACATTGGTAACAACATGTTATGTAACAATCCATGATAACATTACGTTATTATTAACAATTTATTTATCATGTTTACCATGAAATAGTTCAGTGCATCACTGCTAACATATATAAACATCCTACTTTTATTAATGGTTTATGCACATGCGAACTATGTTTAACACGAATCGTTATCAAATTTGCAATTACAGTGTTCCCTACCATAATATATACCAGCACTTATTCATGCATTGTTCTCCCATTTACACCTACTTTATCTTATCCTCTACTCTGTATCCAGTTTTCATAAGGTCTTCCTTGTCCTTTACTATGCTACGTACATAGTAAACATTACATGCTGTATTACATGCTGTATTACATGCTATACGTTCGTACGAGTGAGCTAGGTCCTGTTTAGATGGCAATTACAGAAATATGTCTGGTTTTGTCTCTCGTTGTTGGTGCTAGTCACTGCCGCTGTCTACCACCGGCTCATTCTATCTGATGTCACTAGATGGCGCTAGTCGTCCTCGTCTGCTGCTGGCTTCTTGTCGCTCTCCTCCTCTACGAACTTGACAAGCTGCGCGTCCTTGTTGACGTTGTCACCGGCCTTGTAGAGTACTGCCTCCACGACTCCATCCTGGTGAGCTCTGATCACATACTGTGCAGGCAGAAAATACATCGGTTATTAACCCCAGATCAACAGGCGTTTACCATATGAACACGTATTGCAAACAGAGAAAACGTGATGAGGGGTTGCTCAGCTGCACTGGTCCATAATATCAAGAGCGTATTAAGAAGGTATACATACACTGCTTAATACGCTCTTGATAATATACATCTACTGTGTAGAGTGAACACATCTTTTATTAGCTACACTGCACCGCGTGTTTATCACAAACACGTATTGCATGCAGAAAACACATCGGTTATCATCTACATTGCACTGTGTCCATAATAAACATGCACTACACACAGAAGGCACGTCGGTTATCAGCTACGCTGTGTCCATATTAAACATGACTACAAACAGAAGAAACATCAGTTATCAGCTACATTACACTGTCAATATTAAACACCTACTAAACACAGAAAACACCGGCTACCAACCGCACTGCACCGCGTGTCTGTAATAAATGCGTGGAACACGTAGCGCATGCAGGAAAACACGTGGTCGTTACCTCCATCTTCATCGCGATCATGATGATGAGCGGGTCGCCGGCTGCTACCTTGTCGCCGACGGCGACCGCGACCTTCTCGATGACCCCGGGCATCGGCGCGACGGCGCCGGACAGCGCGACGCCGTCTCCCGCCGCCTCGATGAACTTTGGCGTCGGCACGCTCAGCTCGTAGCTGCCGTCCTGCAACGACGACACACATCACATGGTCGCGCCACCGCACTGCTTAAGTCTAGTTTGACTAAGCTCTAGTTAAGTCTAGTTAGTCTAGTTTAGTTAGTCTAGTTAGTCTAGTCTAGTCTAGTCTAGTCTAGTCCAGTTAGTCTAGTCTAGTTAGTGTAGATAGTCTAGTCTAGTCTAGTCTAGTAGTCTAGTCCAGTTAGTCTATTAGTCAAGTTAGTGTAGATAGTCTAGTCTAGTCTAGTCTAGTAGTCTAGTCCAGTTATACGTTAAGTCTATTAGTCTAGTTAGTGTAGATAGTCTAGTCTAGTTGGTCTAGTTAGTGTAGATAGTCTAGTCTAGCCTAGTCTAGTCTAGTATAGTCTATAGTCTGGTTAGTCTAGTTTAATTTAGTGCTTAAGTTTAGTCTAGAACGGTCGATGTCTGTGGCCCCACAATCTCCTACAGATAGGCACTGGTCTACTGCCACTCATATATTAGAAGAGTATTTCTCGGCCACGTTAGGAATTCACCGCTGGAATCGGCAGCTAAAATGAGGGCTTCGGTCGACGTGTTTTTGGACCCAGCATGCGACGCACCTTCGTGAATATGTGGTAGGTGTTTCCGCGCATGACGACCTTCGCCTTCGTGATGGTGCCGTCCACCTCACAGGTCAGCTCGTTGTCGAGTGGCGCCATCTGTCCTTTCACGTGGTGCGATTTTCCGTCAAATGTGACGGTGAAGTCATTGAGACCGTTGTAGGTGACTACGATACTCAACTCTGTCAATGAAATGTACGGCGTAGGATTTAGTGGTAGTTTTTAGGGCCTCATTGCGATGACATGAACTGTGGTGCATTTACTCATTCTGATGCATTCAATGTGATGCACTGACTCACTCACTCACTGCGAAGCACTGCGTGACTCACTTAATGTAATGCATTTACTGTGATAAACTTACCGTGATGCACTCACTTACTATGATGCACGTACTGTGATGCACCCACTTACTTTGATGCACTTACTGTAATGGACTCACTAATGTACTTACTGTGATGCACTCAGTTACTTTGATGCACTTACTGTGATGCACTCACTTACTTTGATCTCCTGAGTTTAGCTCCAGCGTCTTCTTCTGTTTGTGGTTCAATCGCGTTCCACAGCCAAACGAAAATGGCGAAAATGGATCTGGGATGTGACCAAATGTGAGCAATAAATCCACACATCACAGCAACAAACTATGTATACGTACCAATGATTAATTATTACAGGGAAATTACCATCCCGACGACTGTTTGCACATAGATGAGTCTGATGTGTCATTAGATCTTCAAGTTCATAACTTTTAACATTTTATAAGTAACATCTTATAACATTTTATTTGTATAAAATTTTTCCAACATAATATAGAACTATATCTCATCTATATTATGCCACTCCTGATGGTATAGTACCTACTACGTTTAGAGTTATCAACGAGAGCTATTATAAATAAATAAATAAATAAATATAAATATATATATATATAATTATATATAGATAATTAGCTTATATATATATTTATATATATATAAATAATATACATATATAAATATATCGACTGGAGAGCCCAACGCTCCCCGCTCGGCGCGTCACTTGCCTGGCGTCGTCAGGCTGTGTACGCGCGTCTGCTGTCTTTCCTCTAGCACCATCGCCAGTGCCACCTGGCAGAGGACATGTTCCGGAAGCTCGTGCGTGCGAAACAGTTCGTCGTGGTGTTGGGGAATGAAGTCCGTGTGAACCTGCAATGCGCACGCGAGAGAGATGGCGAGATTTGCTTTCACCTTTTAATTTTTTACTTTATCATTAATATTTAATTTATTTTAATGAAATTTGTTAATATTTTGTAGTGTATTTACAGCGGTCGCCTATGATGCCAGGTTTATTTTTCGAGGGTTTTTCTTCCGCAAGTAAATTTAATGACGTAGATTTAGATCAAATTATTTAACCTAGTATAAAACTTAGCGACACGGGTCGTTTAACTTAAGCAGCATCACGTCATAGGTTATTTTAGTCGAAAAATAGCAGTCAAGGCAACAAGCGAAGGATGCCACCCAGCTATCCCAAGAAACTGGGTCACTGGAACACGAGTAAAAGTTATCACCCACGACGGCAGAGTGACAGTTTAGTACCTATAGAAGGACATCACACCTTGATGTCGCATGCCGACTGATAAAGAACAAACAACGAACGCCGCCGACAAATGTGAACTATGAGAACATGAATTGAACTGCCGCGATTCCCAAGGACTTCTAGAAGCTTCTGCTGCTGTTCCCATGCCAGATTCAAGAAGCTTCCACAGCTTCTCACCTTCAGTCACCCATAAAAATGTTGGAGATGACGACACGTCTTGTACCACCATCGTCAACAAGGCCTTGACCACGCTCGGGGCCAAGCATACCTCCAGAAGCATAAATACCGACCGATTTGGACAGAAAGACGGAAACAGTTCCACGGTGCCTGACAGTTCACGACGCTGTCAGCACTGCGCTGCTCTCACCTGCTCTCGTCACCACGTTACCATCGCCGCCGGACATCTCTGACTGAGGACCTGCCTGCTGCTCTTAGGTCATAAGATATGAACCATTTGTAACGCGTATTTGATTATTGGCCTGCGTGCCACCTATGATTGCATATGATTATCATGCTGATGTTGATTATTAAAGAATAGAATAACTGAAACGATTCTTTGGTTATAGTACAATATACTGCCTCTGGCTTAAGTGCAATAGCACACGTATCTGTTGCACAAACGAACCTGGTCACACAATACAATCACACGTGCCTGCTATACGTAGAACACACGAGCTTTTCTATATAAATCTCACTATAGAGTAGGTAACCAGTTTCTGCCATCTTTTTAGCGAATTCCCCAGGTAAACGTTATGGTTCCAGTCACTAGGCATACCAGACACATCTCATGGCATTTCGATCTGCGAGTCTTACGTAACGTTTGGAACTCGTTGTTCGAACGATGACGCTCGGCAGAAAAACTGGGTTTTAAATTTATGATTATTTTTTTTATTTTTTTATTTTATGAATGATTATAAAAGGGAGATGACCTTACCTTGCCCTCCATGAAGGCCTCGTTGCATGACAGATCGCTGAGAAACTTCACGTTGGTTTTCAACCCAACAATCTGCAAGTTACAAATAATTACTTAACAATAATTATTTGTTAAATGATCGAAAGCCATAGCAAATCTATGAGCGTAACTTTCCGGGCGAAGATGTCGCCAAAATTTTAGACGGTCATCGGTTTGCAAGTTTTAGGAAATACATCATAACCCTGTACAGATATATCCACGCTCACAATATAGAGATATATTATCATCATCTATTATTTAGTTATTATTATTTACTAGATATATTATTTATTATATATTATTTAGTTAGTATTATTTACTAGATATATTATTTACTATATATTATATAAGTATAAAGATCGATACACGGCGACCCACGCTCCTAACTTGTGGGCACACTATTTTAGCCCAGCACAAACATATCGTTATACTCTACATATTCGATGCATTCTTGCCTCGCGTTCTATACACATCGTTGATTCATCAACACACAGCAACCCGTAAGGTCACGCAGGAATGCTAATGTACGCTCTATACTGTATAATATTACGATGGCGTATAGGGATAATGTAGAGGGTGGTTCTTAACCTTTTTTGAGTCATGGACCCCTTTGAGAATCTGGTGAAAGCTACGGACCCCTCCCCAGAAAAAAGCACATAAGCAAGAATTTTGCATGCACCTGGTTCACGGACCCCCTGAAGCCCATCCTAGGACCCCAAAGGGGTCCATAGACCACAGGTTAAGTACACCTGATGTAGACGGTACTGACGTTGTATTCGCTAAGGCAACTGCGTAGTCTACGTAGCGCCGATTGTCTGTCGTCGGCCCAGACGACGAGCTTGGCGATCATCGGGTCGTAGTGAACGGACACCTCGTCACCTGCAGCAACATGGCTTGCCTGTCACGCAGAGCAATCACACACCTGCCCTACAGATACACACACCTGTCCCACATAGCTGTCACACACGTGTCACACCTGTCCCACATAGCTGTCACACACGTGTCACAAATACACATATGTCACACAGAGTCTCCTACACATCTGTCATGCACCTGTCACACAGACACACCCACCTTTCCTGCCACGCAGATCCTCACCTGTCACATAGACAAACACCTGTCATATGGAAACACACCTGTTACACTGACACACACCAGTCACACAAATACACACCTGTCAAACAGTTACCTACACACCTACACGCAGAGCAGCCTACATGCCTGCCACACAGATGCGTAAATGAGAAATGTGCAATGTTAGACAACAAATGGTTAGACATGGTCAGCTAAAGCAATCCCAACAATTCCATTTACCGTTACCCCATCTCGACATCTCAACTTTTCTCAACACTTTTTTAAAATTATTTGAATTAATATTAAATTTACACCACTATCCTTTCACGAGCTCCACAAATTAAATCTCTATCATTTGCATAGGCATTGGCTATACCTTGGCGGACACCAGTCTCTATCCTGGTCGCTGCATCGGCGGGCGGGGTCGACAGATGGTGCAGGGGACCGGCCCCCGGCATGAAGTTGTTGTCGGGATCTTCCGCGTAGATGCGCGCCTCAAACGCGTGTCCCTGCAGCACGAGCTCTGACTGCATCATAGGAAGCTTCTCTCCTGCTGCCACCTACAGGAAGAGAAACGAAACTCTGCAACGACCGGCGGCTGGCGACTACGCACGCCTGCATGGCTACATTCGTGATTCATCCTTCAGGGTGCTATAGACAGACTGCTTTAGAAAATAATATGATTTAAGGAGCGTAAACCTTGTTCAACACGTTTCTACGCGTTTTTTTCCCGAGCAACGCCGGGTACCCGGCTAGTACGATCTGACAATGCCGCCCTTCAACCCCAGAGTCATGAGTGCAATATCTCCTGCTGCTGCCCAAAGTAAGAAAGCACGTCGCTCTCTCTCTCTCTCTCTCTTGCTCTCTCTCTCTCCCCCTCTCTCTCTCCCCCCTCTCTCTCACTCTCTCTCTCTCTCTCTCTCTCTCT